AAATTTTATTTTAGAAGAGTTGTCTGTCTAAAAGGATATTTGAAAGTCTGAAAGTTTATCTAGTCTTTACCTTTTGAGAAAGTTGGGCTGCCTCTACTCAAAATGTCTAAAGGTTTCATTTGGAACCAGCATTAGCTCCTCATCCTTTAAAAAAAAAAAAAGGCTAAATTGAAGTGTTAATCCTAGTAAACTAGTAAAATAGTATATAGGAAAATGACAGATCCAGGGAACTGGAGGATATTCAAACCCTTCCTTTATGAAAAGAATTTTTTTTCCCACAGCAGCTCTGGCAGACAATCATTCAACCCAAACATTTCAAACGATAGGGAACTTCTCACACTTCAAGGCAGCCACTCCATTGTAGGATAGTGCTCATATTTTGGAAAGATCATGTGATTGGGAATCAGAAGACACATGTCCAGGTGCAACCCATGCCTCTTTAATAGTTCTTGGCCTAACTTCCTTCCTTCCCCCAAGTCTCTTGTTCCAATCTAGTGGCTCAAATTCACACTTTTTTAAAATGCCAATTCTAACCATAAGTAGGATTGAAAGGAGACTGAGTCAGTCCAGTCTTTTGGAGGTTGGCACAGCATCTCAGCTGCAACTGGCATCCTCCATTGTCCAGTTATAACAGGAGGGTGCAGAGCAAATGGATTTTATTCCCAGATGACAAACCTTCAATGGTTTCAAGAACCATCAAAGTTTAGGATGAGAAGGGACCCACAAGAGAGTACTGGTCAGGATTCAGTCAGGAAAAGAGAAACTGGCTGGCTAAGCCCAGAGTTTAATGCAGGAGATTGGGTGTACAGGTGGTGGAGAGCTGAAAAAGTACAAAGGGGGCACTGAGGCTATCCAGGTAGTAATTGCAAGAAGGAAGTGTAAACCCTGGGACAGGAGGAGCAAATGGAAGAGAATCTAGAAGTTCCTAAGAGGAAACTGCTGAGCTGGGACCCAGACCTGTGAGGTCATTGGCTGGCTATTGTTGGTTTCTCTGAGGGGGCCCATGGGGCTGGAAGCAACATGAAAGCTGTGGTGAAGAACCACTGTGAGATGCCGCTGACAGGAGCCACAGGCAAGCAAGAAGACAGCAAGGCCTTTTCTCCCCTCCTAGCCTCCTTCTGGGGCCCACATCCACAGAGCTCCCCAGGCTCTGGGGAAGAAAGATGCGGTCTGCAGAGCCCCAGCTCCAGGATCACAGGGAGAGCACCAGAAGGTGGGTTTGGAGCCAAGACGCTAGTTTGCTGACTCACACCAAATGGTGCCCCCCTTGTACACCTGAGAATCTGAGATACAGAGCATGTGAGAGAGTTGTCTAGGGCCCTACATAACAGTAGTACCAGCTAGTGCTGGCCAGCACAGAGAGGCAAAAATACAGTGACAACTAAAATCCACTCTTGTAAGAGAGAAAACTCTCAACTCTGAATCTGCTTAGATGGCAGAGAATTTATAGGTGTATTTAGATGAAACATTTTCAAAATATGTTTTGGCTTGTAAAAGTCATACTAACTACAGTAATTTGTGTGAGTTAATTAATTACTAAGGTATAGAATTATGATTTTGTAGGCTAATACTCAAGGTTAGATCAACTCAGTTGTTTTATTTTAATTACAACACCAAGCCTCTGGTCATATAGGCATACTTTTCATTGTTTGTTTGTGTGACGTATCCGTACACAGAACTCAAAAAAAAAAAGTATTAGCAGAAACATTGCCTGTTAGTGTTCTAATGGATGCAAGGAAATGAAAACCAATGGAACTACTAGGGAATATAACCTCAAACAAGATATCAGCCCCTCCGGATATGTAATCTTCATCATCATATCTCGATTTGCCTGGGACATCAGAAATGATATTTTTTAGATGGTTTAAGATTACCTTAAAACATTCACAGATGGTCTGATACAGGCAGTAAAGCACAGGAAGTTTGTGAAATCTTCAATTTCAGCTCTGCCCCTTTCAAGGTGACCTTAAGTAAATTACTTTTGTTTCTTATATGTTACATAGGACTAGGAATATGCATTAATTTATTCAACAAATACTCACTGAATGCCTACCATGTGCCTGGCTTTGCTCAAAGGGTTAGAGACCAATGAATCCCCCTGTATTCAATGAGCTTTCCTTTGCCATTCTGGAAGACAGAAAATAAAAGCAGGAATTTATAAAATGTTAGGTGGCAGTAAATAATATTAAAAAGAACAAAGCAAGATAGGCAAGGAGAGAATGATGGGAGGGATCATTTTTATGAAATGCATACAGAAGACCTATCTGATAGTGTAATATCTTAAGGGGAGGAGGGAGCCATGTGGATATCTGAAGAGCTTTCCAAACAGTAGGAACCAGAAACTCAAGGGCCCTGCAGTGGAATGTGCTTAGCAAGAATCTAATGTACAGCAAGGGGTGAGTATAGTAGGAGATGAGCTTAGAGAACTGGGAAGGGAAGAAGGCGGCTGAACTAGATCCTACAGGGCCTTTTATTCATGGGGATCTATTACAAAGTTTAGGGAAGAGAACTGACATGATCTCATATGATCTCAATTGTCTTAAAAGAATCACTATGGCTGGACGGAAGCTAGACTGCAGGAGCCTAACAGGGGAGACAAGGGGACCAATCGGGAATCTGTAATCTAGGCAAAAAACAATGATGGTGGCTTGGAAAAGGGTGTTAGGGGAGGCAGTGTTGAGAAGTGGCTGGGTTCAGGTAAGTTTCAGAGGTCAAGCCAACAAAATCACTGATGTACAGAGAGAGGAAAAGTAAAGTATGATCCAGAATTTTGGCCTAAGCAGCAAGAAGAATGGAGATGCTGTTACTGAGAAGGGGAAGACAGTAGGAAGAGCTGGTTAATAGTGCTAAGCCTATTGTGAAATAATAAATCAATGCAATAAATAAGATGACATAAAAAAAACACACAATGGTGCATTCTTGGCCCACTATAGGCGTTCAGCCAGTCTTAAATCTCCTCCCTATCCTTTATAACACTTCTTTGTTACCACTTCTTGTTCGCAGAATACATTTATGCACTACCCACACACTCTCCCGCCCTTTTTATTCACCACTTCTCTGCAAATCAATATACGATCAAAACGTTTCCACATCAGTTGGAGGGTCAGCTAAACCTCACCCAGAAAAATCTCCAACAGACTATAGAAGCAGCAGAGATAGGCAAATTACATTTTTAAATAAGGAAAGAAAAATATTTGATAACAAAACAACATGCATGGCAATCTTCCTAGTACCTCAAAGTACTTAAAGTGCTTCAGTACCCTAAAAGTTTCCCTGGTATTGGTTGTTTTTTAATAGAATTTTTGTGAAGAGTAATATATAATATTTTATAAGCATCCTTTTCTTAGAATTTCTGAAGAGAGGCTAAGAAACGGAAAAGTTACCCAAAAATCTGTAGACTGCTTACTGCATATATATTTCTTGGCAAAATTTTCTAGCCATTTTTATTCTTTTGCCTAAAACTTTGAAGCATATTAAAAGGAAATAAGTAATGTAAATGCCTATGCACTTGTATTAGGTAAAAATGTCTTAGCAATACTTTATCCAAAGCCAATCCAGGTAATAACCAACATATAAATAGAAGCATACAGTCTAAATATCAAAAAAAAATGCTTGGTTCTTAAAATTCTTTACTGTGGATTCATTTGCAATGTCAGTATTCAGTTCACTTATCTCTATACTCTTAAGAATCATCAGCATTTAATTTATGAGTGTTTTTAGTTGGAAAGATTCTGCTGCTTAAAATTCAATTTGATCCTCTTGGTCTGACTTGAGGAATACTTACATCTTGTGTTTTTCCCAAAGCCCTCCTCTATGCTCAATTTCCCATAATTAATAGAATCTTTAATCCAAAGTAAAATGCCATCCTTACCACTTCCCTACCCCAGCTCAGGGGTGATAACAGAGAATAACAGCCCAGAGACAAATAACAACATTTGTCTCATGGTTACTACTCTCCTATCCCCCGGGAACATCTAGTGTATGTATGGCTTCATGTCGCATTCAAAGCTGGGTATACTGATGGCTTAAGAAATCAATCCTGCAGGGGTGCCTGGGTGGCTCCATCATTTAAGCATCTGCCTTCAGCTCAGGTCACGATCCTAGGGTCCTGGGATGGAGTCCCGCATCGGGATCCCTGTTCCGCGGGGAGCCTGCTTCTCCCTCTCCCTCTGCCTGCAGCTCTACCTACTTGTGCTCTCTCTGTCAAATAAATAAATAAATATATAAATAAATAAATAAATAAATAAAATCTTTAAAAAAAGAAAGGAAAAAGAAAAAAGAAATCAATCCTGCAGCCAGCCTAGAAGCAGCTGAGGGCCCACTGTGGGTAGGAAGCACACAGGAACAGACCAGCTTACCTGCAAGGAGTGTGTGCCTTGGATGTACTCACTAGATTCTTCAGCAGCAGAAAATAGAACACTCACCCTTGTCAGGGAGGCATGGGGCCAACAAGGACCTTTCTCTCATGCTTGGCAAGGAGAGGTATTGGCAGGGGCAACAAAACCCTTATAGATTTCTTAAGTTTGTGACTCATTGTTTTTGATACTAAATTATGTATGACAGGAACCTCTTCAGGTTCCTCAGGGTACCCAGTGAAAAGCAAATGTTTGAGGGAATATGCCAGTATTTGGGATAAAATGCAAAAAAAAGCAGTTGGCACTGGCTATGAGAAGCCCGGAGTTCACCACATAGTCTTTTGTTCACATTTCCCCAAGTATAACTTTCTTAACTCGTGACCAGAGAATCACTTATCCTCAGGAAGAATGTACTTCTTAATACTTTTCTTGGGGTTAATCCTGTAGGACCCGGGTTTAAAACAAGTAGCAAGGTATACCCCAATACAGGATCCTCTTAATTGTGGAGACTGATAATTATGGTAATTACTAGCAGTTTTAACTCCACTGACACCAAGTCCCTGTTCTTCTAGCTGTTCTGGCCCTACCCTTTGGCTTAGGTGGGGAAGGACATTGGTTTTGACCGGTATGCTTTTTGAATTTCAGGAATAGTTGCTGTTCTCTTCTGTGGAGTCACGCAGGCACATTATACCTACAACAATCTGTCGTCGGATTCCAAAATGAGGACTAAACAGGTAAAAGAAAAAGTTCACTACAGGCTTTGTCTCTTTTCACAGTGTAATGGTTATGTTGCAATTCTGCCAATGCACTCGGAAAGAATTTCATTAGTGAAGGAAGAAAGTAAGCTTAAGGCTTCATTATAGGTTGGATATTTATAGATTTTTTTTTTCCTCCAGGATAACCATTAAAATTCTCTTGGTAAGCAAAAATATAGTTATAATAGTCTCTCCCTCCTGAGAAATGTGGAACATAGACTGTCAGTCTTGAAGATGAAAGGCCCACAGTTGGTAATAATTCACAGTCACTTACATCTAAAAGCATTATAAAGCATGTGAGATTGGGTAGTTATATAGAGAGAAGGAAATGAAGAAGAATAAGGAAGCAATGTTTGGTCTTTAATTGGGTGCTTTCACTTCCAAGTAAACTCAGCTGCCAGTTGTCACACTAGCGGAATGTATCTCCCACATGCCAAAAACGCATGTGTTTGGATATTTGTACACGAACCTTCATAGATTGCTTACACAAATGTGCTGCACAGCCCCTCTGTGCCAAGCACTTTGCTAGATACTAGGCATAAAAGGACATAGGCTATGACCTTGTCTTTAAGAGGTTCATTATCAAGTCTGTTGATGAGGATAAGGATGCGGAATGAACAATTAATTATCTACAGTGTGATACAGACTGTGATAGGAATATCTGTATAGGATGTTTGGAGAGCATTCATTAGGGCATCCTCTTTAGTTAAGATTGGGAAGGTGAAGAGAAAGTTTCCAGAGACGATGTCCAATCTGAAGCTTGAAGTACAAATAGAAATCAATTAGGTGATCATGTGGGATCTAGTGGGTGGGAAGGTAGCATGAAGAGCATTTGAAGCCAAAGTTGAGGATGGACAAAAATCTCTGAAGCAATTGATCAAAGCACTGTAACTAGTTCCGTGTGGCTAGTGAATGGGATAAGGCAACAGTGAGGGATGAAACCACAGGTAGAGGCAGAGACCAGCTTATGAAAGGACTTCCATACCTTGCGAAGGAGTGTTTAGACTTTGTCCTAAAGGTAATGGGGAGTGTCTTAACCAACAGAAATGTATCGTATGAGAAATGTAGAAGTCTAAGATCAAGGTGTCAGCAGGATTAGTTCCTTCTGAAGGTCTCTGAGGGAGAATCTATTCTATTCCTCTCTCTTAGCTTCTGGTGGTTTTTGAGCAATCTTCGGTGTTCTTTAACTTGTAGACACATCATCTTAATTTCAACCTTTCATGTTCGCATGGCGTTCTCTCTATGAATGTGTCTGTCTCCAAATGTCCCTTTTTTATAAGGACATCAGTCATATTAGATTAGAGGCCCACTCTACTCTAGTATAACCTCGTTTTAATTATATGTTACATGACCCTATTTCCAAATAAGTCCACTTTCTGAGGTACTAAGGGTTAGGACTTCAACATATGAATTTGGGGGGAGGCCCCATTCAGCCCATAATAGGAAGTCACTGAAGTGTCTGAAACAAAGTAATTTTAGGATAATTGGAGTTCCATTTTAGAAATATGACTCTGGTAGACAAGAGGAGCATGGATCAAATGACATCTGTATCAGTTACTTTTTACTGTGTAACAAATAACCATACAACCTAACCTCAGTAGCATCTATTTCTCACACAATCTGCAGGATTTAAGTCTAGAGTGGGCTTGGCTGGGCATGTGCCAGTGCCATCTGTCTGTCACTCTTCTCCTAGCAGAAGAGCAAGTCTTAAGGTGCAAGTTCATTTAAAGCCTCTGCTTGCATCACATTTTCACATCCTATTGGCCAAAGAAAATCATATGCCTGAACCTATGGTCAAGAGACTGAGCAGGTCACCAGCCCACAGTGGGAGAGCACTGCAAGGTTATGTGGTAAGGAGTATGGATATAGAGAATAATGAAGAATTGGACCAAATGATTGCAATCTACCCCAAAATGCAAATGGAGGCAGAGAATCTTCTATAATAAGCCCAACAATGCTGGGTATTTAATATAATATTGGGACAGTGGGGGTAAAGAAAGCCAAAGTGACATCTGAGCAAAACCTATAATTGGCCAGGAATTCCTAAATAGTTTTTGAAGACTTACCTTAAAGCTCTCTAAAATGGTTATTAGCTTCCTCTTTCTCTTCGTCATGTCCCAAACTCAGTGGGCCCTCACCCTACCTCCCACCTACCCAGGGACTCTCCAGTCACCCTTCCCCCTCTGACCATCAGAGGAATCATAAAGATGCAATTATAGATATTTTAAGGACCCACAGTTTTTAAAAATGAAAAAAAAATGATAACAATACCTAGAAACTCCAATATAGTTTTAATTATGGAGACTACAGCATTCTCTAGGGCTTCAAGGGAAATGTCTTGGGACTGGCTTTTTCTGACCTTGTCTGGTTCTCTGAGCATTTGTATTCTGGGGAACTGAACTCTGGTTAGGGACTTGCACTTTTAGGTCACGCTATCTAGACTGCTCAGCAGAACTTCAAAGATAACTCATCTCATGGCAAGACAGCAACCTAGCACCTAGGGGAGACAAAGCCAAAATCAGTGCCCCACAGCCTTCTGTTCTCTCAATGACTTGGCAAGCACTCCCTAATGAACTTCCAACGTCCGTTTTTATAGCACTCTCTTTTAAGGAAGAAGGTTTTTACAAGTTCATTCTTTAACATCCAGATAATTGCATCCCTCCATCTTTGTTTCCCCTTTTACCTCCTTTCCTGGGTGCCTGATTCATAGTAGGATTTTAATGAATGCCTTCCCTTCCCTTCTCATACCTTTCTTCATTTCATTTCTCTCAGGATTTATCATTTTCTATTTCTTTTTCTCTCATAATATATGTATATCTCGCAAATGTACATATTTAGACACACATGCATACCTCCACGCCCATATTTTCCACCCTAGTGTACAGAGTCTGAGTTCACCCTTTGAAAGAAATGAGATCCAACCCTTTAATTAACTTCACAGATAAGAGGTTGTGGCCATATCTGTACCAGTGTAGCAAGCAAAGTTCAAACTCCATGTGGGAAACCAATTACAAATTGTAAAGAAAGGCTAAGGCAGGTATTATAGAGGTTACCAGTATGTCCTCTCTGAAACTGGGAAAGATTTGGAAAGTATTATATTACAATACATGGTTATAGAGAACAGTCCCTTCCTCTGTACCTCCCCACACTGTGTCCACTATCAGTGAGAAAAGTAGAAGTGACCCAGGCTCTGTGCCTCTGTCCCCAGAACTGTTTAATGGGAACAAAGGAAGTCAATTAGTGAAGTCTAGGGACTATCTATGAAAATCAACTTTGTATCATAAAATGCAAAGGAGATATGGTTTAGAAAAAAATTTTATTCATGGACTGTGCCTATATCAGCTAATCAAATAGCTACATCTGGATACAAAGACTTTGGAGAATTATATATCCTTTATAGCGTCAAGAATTAGAGTGCCTTTTTAAAATTGCATTTTCACTTTAAAATATATTTTGTGAATTGATTTTCACTCCAACCTATGAAAAAAACATGTAACTAACATCACTATGTGTTAGGCACCAAGCAGCATAATAGAGACACTCAGGTGCTGTTACTCACCACAAGGATTTATATTTTGATAGCAAATCATTCTATTAAAGAGTATACGAACATGTGTAGCAATCCCTTTCCCTGGACTTGCAGTGATTTGCTTCCTTTAGGGTATTCACACCTAGCCCTAGGAATAGACAAATAACGTAAGCCCTGACTCTTGCCCGAGAAACTGAACACTGCTAGAGGTACTCAAGATGGACATCAGCACATAGTAGTCTGTGAGCCTAGAGGTTTCACCCCGAACCGCCCAGAAGACTGCATACAAACCGCGATACTACTCACACAGATCCCGGCCTGCCTCCCAACCCTTTCCTCCTTTATGCCCTCACTTGCTAAGCAGGCCTAGGAGCTGGTAATCTAGGCCAAACTCCAGGGTGTTTCCATAGCTAGCTTTACCTTGCCTGAGGCTAACTTGCAAAACCATGCACTTCTCTATCAGCCCTTTTAACTAGAATTTCTCCTTCCCTTCCTGCAGTTCCCACCTAAAAATTATTTTCAACATAGACACATTAATATAATATTAATTTAAATAATTAACATGTATTATGCATTAACATGTATGAAGTACTTATTTCATTTACTTTCTACTTACTTTTCTACATTATCACTGCTTACCTTCATTCATTTAACTAATATTTTTTGAGAGCCTTTTTTGTTCCAGTCACTGTTCAAGGTGCTGGGGTACAAGAGTGAATAAAAGAGAATTTCTTCTAGTAGAGGATATTTTTTGTAATCAGAACAAATGTGCTAAATACATAGTGTGTTATTGGCAAGTCATAAGGCCAATAATAAAGCAGAGAAGGGAGTTAGGAGTGTAGGTGTGGGGAGGCAGATTTGCAATTTTAGATGGGGTGGTCAGGGAAGGTCTCAATAAGAAAGTGATAACTGAAAGAAGGAAGAGAGTTATGTGGACATTTGGAGCAGAGCTGTCCGGAAATTGGGAATGACAGATACAGAGGCCACGTGAGGCAAAATGACCAATGTGGCTGAGGTAAAGTGGACCGGGGGAGAATATGACAGACAGTATCAAGGCAGTGACAGGAACAGGTCATGGAGAGCCTAAACAAGAAAGAGAGGAAACACTGGAGGCTTTTACGTAAAGGCATGGCATAATATGATTTAAATTTTAAAGGATGGAGACATTATTTATTAGCCAAGGAGCACTGGAAGACAGCAGGTTTGAGGGACAATTCAAACAGAGTATTGACTTGTTACATTTGAGATGTGTATTAGTCAATAAAATGGAGCTGTTGAGTAGCTTGTTGGACAAAGAATTCTGGAGTTCAGGAAAGAGGTCGAGGTGAGAAGTATAATTTTGGATGTCATCAGCATAGAGATGATATTGAAAGCATGAAACGAGATGAGATGTCTAAGAGAGTAATGGGGAGAGAGCCAGAAACCAAGCCTTGAGGCATTCCAATGGTAA